TGCAGCGAAGTCAAGATCTCTGCCCAACTTTCCCCAGGATGATTCATTGAGGTTGCCCGAGACGGCAGACCAGGGAGCAACTACATCACATTCATTTAAAAATCTTTCTAACGTGCTCCCCTTTATTTTCAAGTTCTTTGAACGAAGCAGCTCATTAAGAGCCAGAAAAATTGGGTGCGATGGAGAAGCACCCATTTTAGAAACCTGTTTGATCCTTATAATTTTTCTTTTAGCTTGTCCGCTATGCTTAGTTTCACTTTTAGCTTGTCCGCTCTTGTCCAGGCTCTACTGTCCCGCTCTCCCTTTACCTACAGGCGAGAGCATAAAACCCGCTTTTATCGCAGATCCCCAATCTTACCTGAGGACTTACCGGTGCACCCCCTGACTGCAGCAAGTTCTGGGCTCCATGGAGAGAGAGAGTGGAGGAGGTAATTTCCCTTATGGGCCACCACTTGTCGTGACCACCTTGACCAGCAAGGATAACTCAACACCGGAGCTCTTCTTGCAAGCAGTTTATTCGGAACCTTTTCTAACAGTGATCTCTCTCTCTGGGCAAGCCTCTCCCAGCCCTTAAGTAGGCATGGACCACCAACCCTGGATTTTCACGTGGGCACCGTCCATAGGTCCACGCATTCGCAAGCAGCTTACGATCATCTGGCCTTAGCCATATATGGAGTTGTTTTTCTAAGAGAGCACTCGCTTCGGGATCGTGGAGGGCGGGAGCCAGCGCTATCTTTAAGGTGCGGCTCCATGCAGCTCTCTACAGTTAAGGTGCGGCTCCACGAAGCTCTCTACACTCTACCATAGGAAGAAGATATTTGTGGGTTTTTTGTTAGGGTGCATATGTGTAAATACATCTGCCTGCTACCCCCAGAATTCCCAGCAAAACTTCTGTGGCTTGAAGGAAGGAAGGGGTCACAAGGCCCTCTGTTGGGGGGGGGACGTTGAGGGCAGGTGGAGCATCCTCAGGGAAATAGCCTTCAGAAGGGCAGAAAGGCATAGGTGGAAAAGAGAAGTTGGAGGAAGTGGTACAGAGGTCAGGACCCAGCATCAAAGGACTTGTGAATAGCTGTCAAGAAAGGTTTTGCCTATTTGTCAGGGAGACAGTACCTGTCTCTAGAATGAGCCAGCCCTGAGGACCTGTAAAAGCTTTCCTGGCCTAGAGGGCTTCTGTTTGGATGTAGGGAAGAATCAGGCTGAGAAGATGATAGGGAAGTAGGTGGGGGTGTTGGCTGGCCTTTTCAGTAATCTTGTCAGCAAAAGCATTTTCCAAAGGTATATTATTAGTAACAGCCTGGGGCCTGGCAGGGAATTGTAGGGGAAGCTGTAGCCACGCCTTCTTAGGGGCTGGCTAAAGGTGTGCCTGACCAGGCTTGTGAGGGCGTGGTCAGAGTGACGTAGTGGGACTGCGTTTTCGGTTTCGGTTTCTCTTTTGCTTCTTGCTGTACAGGCTGCCACCACTGGCTGGCTAGGTCGCTCTGTAAGTAAGGCTTTTCCCTATTAAATACCCTTATATTTCTACCTGACTCCGTATTGGTAATTTCCCACTATAGGGAATAACTGCTGCTTGCTTTTAAAGATAAGAGTTTTCTAGCAGCTGTAGGGTTAAAGGCCTAATGATAATGAATGTGTCTTTAGTATGAAGTCAGCCCCTCTCTTACCAAATGGAAGCCTGGTGGTGTTGAATGTGGAATACATATTAAGAATCTGTTTCTATGTTAAGGATTTTGAACGGTGCTAAGGGTGTAGTGATGGCTCTGTCTTCTGCGAAGTGGTGCATCATGGTAAAGGAACAGGCTCTATAGCCCACTTGTCAGGAACCAGTGTAGCAGAGAGATAAGCTTCCATCCACCACCCAAACCAAGCATACCCAGTTTGTGACACAGGGGCAATAGTAAATTGTGGAGTTTTGTAGGGAAGGAAATGAGTGATTCTAGGCAGAAATGAATGAGGTTAGTGGCCTTGGGAAGGTTGAGAGGAGGGCCGGAATCAATTGAGATGTCACAATTTTCTAGGAGGGTGGTGTGAACAAGTTGAAGCTTAAAAGGAGAAACAAGGAAGCTTTTGTGTGAAAAGAGATGTTTGAGCTGTTGTGGTAGAAAGACAGATTCAAATAGATCAAAGGTGAGTTTAAAGGCATCCTGCACCAATGAGAAGGCTGTTGCTCATACATATATTCAAAGTTGTTAACTGTTACATGAAGCTGCTTGGAAAGAAAAGCAACAGGACCATTCATTTGTTCCCAAACCATAGGTCCAGTCACTGTTTTGTTTTGGTTTTGTATAAAAATTAAAAGGTTGGTCACGATCTAGGAGAACCAGAGCAAGGGCCAATGATAGTTGATCTCAGAAACAAATTAAAGCAGATGTTGCAGACTAAGCTGGATCTAGGAGCTCATTTGGAGGGCCCTTATCTGCTTAAAAGAGGGGGCAAGCAAGAAGACCAAAGTTGAGAATCCAGGCTCTGAGGTAACCCACCAGCTCCAGGAAGGGAAGAATCCCTTCCTGATGGTAGGGGTGGTGGATGGATTGCAGGTACCATCTAGAATTGAGAGTGAGTTTGAGGCTGTTAATGGATAACAGAAAGTCTAGATAGATGATCTGAAGGAACGATCCAAGCAAGCTGAGACTCTGTTTCAGTGTCAGGGTCTTTCCAGGTGAAAGCAAAGCTCTCATGTGAATCTGGATATAAAAGAATGGTAAAGAAATCATCCTTCAGGTCAGGGACAGCCAAGTGAGTGTAAAGGAGGAAATCTGAGAAAGAGTGTGCAGATTGGGCACCAGCAGGTGGGTAGGGAGGAATGTTGTGACAATAATCCAGAGGGCCTAGACCAGGTGGTTCAAACCATCACCCATTAGGATGATCAAGACTGAAGTGTTATATGGTTGGTGAGTTTGTTAAGAAGACATTGCCCATTTTCAGCCTTGTATGTTTTAAGGAGATAAGGTATTCAGAGCTACAGGGTAAGGAAGTAGGGTCCTGGAGTAGAATATTACTGGAGGGAGTTATGCATACTTCATAGGTAAGAATTATGCAGAGTGTCAAGTCAGGAAACAGGTAATTATTGCTGGGTACTGGAGAAGGGAAGAACATAGTGATGATGTGTGACTTTGCCCTGAGAATGTGTTAGAAGGTCAAACACTGATTTCTGACTAAGACTCACTGCATGAGTGACAGATTCATGCTATTCCCCCAAAATAACCACCTGTGTCCATAAAGACCTATGTGAACTGGCTGCCTTACACACAGATTGAGGAAATAACAGAAAAGGAGGGTGTTACAGGTCTCAAAGATGGTGATCCCCACTACTTCAGGGCATTATGTTTTAAAATGTACATGTACAAAGGTTTTCCAGCCAAGAAAACAAAAACTTTTTTGGTTTCCAAAATTTTTACTTTTCTGGGCCAAGTGGGAAAAAGCAGAATTGTCTCAGGCCACTATATTAAATACACAAACACTAATGCTGGCTGATGAGAGAAAGAGTTTGTGTATAGTTGTTATATCTGCCACTATAGATAAGCAAAAAAGTATTCAGATACTTTTGGAAATCCCTTTAGGTCAATTAAAGTATTCTGGAAATGGAATGGCCTTCCTTTGTTGCTCACGAGTGTCCAGAAACAAAAGAAGAATTAGTCATGTAATGGGCTCACTTCTGGCTAATCTGTTTACTTTCTTGTTGGACCAAAACAGTAACTTGCTTTAAAAAAGAAATTCCATTTGTGTGTTTCATAAGACACATCCAAGGAGAACTAACATACAATATACTTACTATACAATGAGAAGAATACTCCACAATTCACTACACTGACACCATACTAAATACTAAACAAGAGACTAAATAAGATGAGGACTGGACACTGATCTTTGATGTAGCAACACCTGTGGGCTTTTGAAAAGTGCAGATTCCTGGGACAGTTGATACTGCAATTATGAGGGAAGTGTATTTACCACTAAGGGAAACATAAGCACTGAGTGAGACAAGGAGAATGTAGCCTAGAATATCAGATGCGCAAGAGAGCACAGTGCTGCTCACATCTAACAATGGCAAAGGACTTGAGATGGAAGTGGTGGAGAAGGTACGCCATCGTAAATGCAGGAAACCAAGAAAGCCTGTGGAGTGATTCGAGCATGTGTGAAGAACTGAGAATGTAAATTCTCGGGTCCAAACTCTCCCCACAAGGATCTATGAGGCATTATGGAGCCCCAGGGCAAAGAAAAAGAGTTGTCTGAGTTAGGGCTTTTATTGCCGTGATAAACATTGGACCGGAAGTAAGTGGGGAGAAAAGGTTTTAAATCATGCTACAACTCTTAGGCCACACTCCATTAATGAGGGAAGTCAGGGTAAGAACTCAAGGCCAGAACCTAGAGGCAGGAGCTGATACGGAGGCTATGGAGGAGTGTTGCTTACAGTCTAACTTCAACCTGGCTTGTTCAGTTTGCTTTCTTATGCCATCTAGGACCATCTGCCCAGGGGATGCATCACTCACTCTGGGCTGACCCATCCACATCATTTAACAGTCAATCAATACAACACACCACAGACTGACCCACAGGCCAGACGTAGTGAGTCATTTTCTCAATGAATATTGCATTTTCCAAAATATGTCTGCCATTTTGTAATATTAACAAAATATACCAACACAATAGACAAGTGATTTCTCTCTCTCTCTCTCTCCCTCTCTCTCTCTCTCTCTCTCTCTCTCTCACACACACACACACACACACACGTGTGTGTGTACCAGTTGTATATGGATATTTTTCTCATGATGCTTTTCTGAATGATTCCATAGAGAGATTACAATTGTAAACAAATCTACATCTCTGAAACGTGAATGGAAATGTGAATGAGCCAAATTGCAACTTTTCCCTGGGTGAGTGTTTCTGCAAATAAGTAAGTGTTCACTGTTCACAGATGACACTGGTAAGCTGCTGTCAGGGTGTTCAGAATTTGGTGTAGGGTAGTGGTTTTCATGAGATGACCACACAGTATAGTTGGCAGTTGTTTTATTTGTGTACATACAAGGTTTACAGGTCCAAAAATGATGTACATATACATTGTAAAACACTCACCATAATGAGGCTTATGAACATCAGTCGCTATATAGTTACCTTTTACATGCAGAGTCTACTTTAATAGACTTCCTTAGCTGTCAGTATCTGACATTGTGTGATAACCCTTAACTTAAAACTGCCCTTGAATCAATGTATTGACATCCACACTACAACAGTGAGCCACTATGTCACCAATACTTCAGAAACCTGTTAATTTGTGAAGTGGATACATTCACAAGTATTTCACGCAGCATAGATAGAATTCCATCAAATGAGTTCTGTTTGATGGCATCAGTTTGCCCTAATAATAGATTTATTTCCACTTTTAAGTGATTCACTTCCTTCCCAGCTCCTTCCTGAAACAATTTTTCTATTTCCTAGAAAAAAGAGAGTCTATATTTAAAAATATACACTAATATTTTGTAATTAACATCAGCTGTTCATATGTGCACATGTTTATTACATTTATAAAAAATAGCATTAGACAAGTTTGTCCAAAACTTCACACTTTTGGACCTGAAGAGTGAGAGTAGCTTTGGCTGATATTTGGTTACAATTTCCTCCCTGGAATGGAGGGGCCTGGGACAAAGACAGCTGTGAGAACTAGGGGTAAAGCATAATGCCATTTGGGAGGGTGTGAAGTTAACTCTCATTCAGTCTCAGGTCCACTGAGCTGAGCTGACCCTATCTGTGTAACAAATGATGATACTGACTGCTGCCCTGAGAGTAGAGCTGTCAAGCTCTGGGTTGGGAGAAAAACTGTACTGTACTCTAGGTCTGTAGAATACACCAACCAGATCTGGAAACAGACTATGCGGGGTTCAGAGCTTCAGATTCATAAGATGACTAATCTGAGCATTTTAAACTGATATCCTGGACAGTTGTGCTAAGAATTTTTAGGAGTGCTGGGCTGAGGTATTCTTATTTGGAGTAAAATGAAACTACTCTAAAATACATAAGAGCAGCCCTGTGGATGTTTATTTTTTCTTCACTCTAATTCTCTTCAGATTACTAACACCACAGAAGGTGGTACATTTTTAGAATGAAGGGCTTCACCAGGATCTAGGAGGATCTGAGCTTTTCACATAGGAGGATCTATGTTCACATGTCTTTGGGGGTTGTCTCTGGGATCATGATTTCCTTACAATGTCACACTTTCCTTCCACCGTCTACCAGGTACGCCCATCTGCATCTGTCCTTACCTTCAGCTTGTGATCCAGCATCCTCTCCTGCTCCTCCAGAAGGTTATCCCTTTCCATCTCCATCTTCCTCTGCAGCTGGACCATGTTTTCTGAAATAGTTCTCATGTGAGCCTCCCTTGCTTCCTCTTGCTCCATCTGGTGCTGCCTCATTAGCTCTAGTTCCTTCTCAGCCGCCTCCTTCTTGGACTGCTCAGCTGTACCACAAGGGATTTAGAGAGAGAAGAGAGGGCATTCAGAACTGAGAGCTACTCTCATGATCTTACAGACCAAGCTGATTACCCCATAGAAACTCTCCACAACTTCCCATCAGTAGTCATGATTGCATATGTGATGGGAATGTACTGACCATCTAGTCATGCAAATCCGTCCCAATTATGGGTTTCAGATCTACAAGAGGATGCAAGGGGGGTCTCCTTGGTCTTTTGGGGGTGGGGGATCTTTCTATCCATAAGTCAGAGGGCTTTACAGGAACTTATTGAGAGCTGGGCCCTCTTGTGTACCTGCCATGGCTTTCTGTCCATCAGTGAGGGCCTTATCTGACTGCAAGATGCAATCTTCCGTAGTGATCAGAGACTTCAGGAAGTCCCGGAACACCTCACTTGCCTGGATATCCAAAGAGAGAAAGCCTTAAGTGGCCATATGTGTTCTTTTGATGAAAGAGTTATCATTCAACAAAATTACTAACCTGACAGCAATATTTGAGTCCTGGTTAAGTTCCCACGTGAATCCTTTAATTCTGTGGCTGTAACAAAATCTATGTTCTTTGTTGTGATTGAAAAACCCTCTGTAACAGCCTCCTACCAGGTCTCCAGTCACATTTCCCAGGAATGTCTCCCACTACCCATTTCAGGTAGCAGCTCCAACCAGATATGTGTGCAGTTCCAAAAGCACACATGAGGCAGGCAGTCTTAAAGAATAGATTAGTAGACTTGGACCTAATTTGGTTTAGAGTATACATCCTTCCCCATCTTGTAATGATGCACTTGCCAGTCCAATTCCTTTATCTATGTGTACTATGCACACATGCCCCCTCTATATAACACACCTAACACTTCATATATTCCTGTTGCCTCCCTGTACTGGCTATACATAGACTTCTTTCTGAACAATCATGTAAATACCTCAACCTCTAAACAAATCAAACCATGACAGGTTCTATTCAAGTATATTCCTAATGCATCCAAAAAATACATCTGGCCTCAAGTTGCTTTCACTGTATGCACAATGCTATCATGAAAACTTTGTCCTTCAAATGAAAATTTATAGAATATCAATACTCAGCATCTCAAGCCTATGCACAGATGAGAATTCATATTATTAAAATCAGATGCACCAAGTACAAGAAAGGACATGTCCATTAGGGAAACTGAATGTATGACCTAATCTATCCTTCAAAGTAGAGAACAACTCAAACTATGACTGTGGTAACCACCTTTGCCATCTTTAGAAGTGACCCACAGTGGGTCATCTGAATATCCTCACATATATGGCCTCTGCAAACTTGAACAATGTATTCCTTTCTTATCTGTATGATTGCTTCGCTCTGAATGAACTTGTCCAGCTTCTTTTGCAAATCCGTGTGAGTTTCTCTGTCCATCACACCCTCAACTGTACAATGGAGATACTGTTAAGAATCAATTCATTCTCCCCTGAGTACTAAACTGATATTCCAATGAGAAAAATAACACTAACTTAATTCAGCAAGTGAGTACTCAATATGTTAATATCATCATCCTCATCATCACCATCACTATCATCCTCTTCTCCATTGCTACCTCTAGGTCCATTGAGATCATTTATATATGATAGCTATTCCTGACTTATTTTGTACATTTTATCTGTGCATGTCAGCTAAATTTATAAGCTTCCTGAGAATAAAAGTTCTTTCTGAAATAGCATTTGCACTCTGAACAAAAATCATCACAATATTAAGAGACCAACCTGGGAGCTAAGTTGCTCTGAGGTGAAGCACACCACTGCCAACAATGTGGTGACTTCAGATAATGTTAGGAGCAGTAGAACCTACAGTTGCTGCTGCTGCCTTTTGGGTAGGCTCCCTTCTTCCTGGACACTGGCTATTCAGGATGAGGGTTTCATCATAGTAAATGTTAATTGCTGAAGCTGCATTTCCTTAAAAAGATGGCCTGCCCATTGCATGAACAATAGAGTTTTGGACACATTTATATTAGGTTCATAGTGGTACAATGTAAACATGAGAGTTCTTCTAAGTTCTTTGTGGACTGCTTTGCCTTTTGAATCATAGAGTTGCAAAGTCAGATAATGAATGGCACTTGTGAATAAGCATAAATACAAGAAACAGAGATTGGACAGAATTTGTGAAGGTATCTGCCCCCAGATCATGAATGCCCCCTAAACTCCATCTCCCTGGTAGTATTGCAGGACTGCACTGTGGAAATGTCCATCTTTAAGGATCCGGCCATTGTGGTCTTCTCCAATTCATACTATACTCAGGAATTCCATGAGAAGATGTTGAATGAGGCCATGAGTGTCATGATGAACCACACTACCAGACTCACAAGGGAAATCATGGAGAATTTCAAGGCTCTGAGAGAGATGGTGCATATTGGCATGGGCTCTGACAACATGGATGCCAAGGCTGAACTTGTGATCAGGTGTGCAACATCCATCTGCCACAGTGGAGAAGAGAGCTGATTCAACTGTCTGACACATCCCAATCCCTATTGGTACAACACATAGCTGTACCATACCCTAGGAGAGGACACATGACTATAGAGCATGAAACAGATTTCTAAGGTTGTCTCAGGAGTGGCTAGGATCCAAAGGGAGACAATGGACCTCTTTGGCTTTGGTTACAGAGGGCAGGTGGTTGGTTTTAGAACTAAGACTTTGGATTCAGCATCATATTTTCAGATCCTTATTTACAGGATGGTATAGAGCAATCTCTGGGAGTGCTAAGTGTCTACACCTGCAGGACTTACTCTATAAGAGCAACTGCATCTCCCTGCACTTTGACCTGAACTAGCATAAGCAACACTTCATCAATGTTTTCACTATCAACAGATAAGTCAAGGAGCACTCCTCATGAATGCAGCCCAAAGTGGCCTGGTGGATGAGAAAACTTAGCTCAGGCCCTCAAAGAGGGAAGGATACGAGAAGTATCCCTTGATGTGCATGCGTCTGAGTCCTTTAACTTCACTCTTGGTCCACTGAATGATTCACCAAGTCTCATATGCTTGCCTAACAAAGTCTGATTTTGTGAACAAGAATTTCTAGAAATGAGGGAGGAATCTGCCACTGAAATCCACTGAGCAGATGCAGGTTGTCTACCATAAATCTTATGAAACAGTGTCTTCATTACTTCATTTCTTTGGTCAGTCATTAACCAGCAAGTGACTCATGCCCAGCTCAATAGTGAAACATATAGGTATCCACCAGGCATACCATGTGTGGCTCCAGGAGGGCTTCCTGCAGCTATGGAAGGGATCATTCCTAGAGATATCCCAGTGACTTACAACCTCCCCACAGTGTCACACCCATCCCAAGCTCCCTCTTCCAACCAGCCCACAAAACATAGGGACAATTGAAAATACTCCGAAGAGCAATAGAAAGAATGCTAGAAAGTAATTATTCAGATAAACTTGGGACCAGGAGACAGTAGGAAATAGATGAAGTGACGTAAGGAATTTGATGGTCCTTTAAATTGATTCTGAACATCACTATTATTGTAGTGTTAAAACTATAAGGGCTAGAAAACTGAAGATGGTGTCTGCTTCACAAAGTATGGAAAGACTAGGACATAATTTATTAATGATCAGCTTCTGTTATTCTGTGTTAAATTTTTCATCTGTGCATCAAGTCACAAAGAATAGAGCTTACTATTCATTGGTCCCTTGGCCACAGAAGGTTCTGATTAAGGTACTCTGGAATGTTGTATCAAGAGCTCCAAATATCAAAGTTTTAAAATATTGTAAGGAAATCCCCATCAAGAGTAGACCTTTTGGCCTACAGAAGTGGGTGCCTCTTTTCACCAATAGAAAGATTAAATTCTGACAAGATAGGGGACATTGTTTGCCCATGTAGACATCTACTGCATAGGACTGAAGAAGTAAAAGCTACTGTACTTAGAAGCCCCTGCTCACCTCTGAGCAGACAAGTCAGTTGTAAGTTCAGAAAGATCCTCCAATGGCAAAATAAATCCAGACAAAAAAGGGAGTGGGGAGAACCAAAATAATTATTCAGTTTTACAAGTGGTTTGTTTCAGATCCTCAGCTATATTATTGAGTAGAAAGACTTGACCTAGAAGGATTCTAGAAGAATAATTTTGCAGTTCCTTATGTCTCGGCGATCACCTTTTATTGTAACTTGTCAGATTGACTATGAACAAACCCATGTTTTTAGACACTGATTAATTCTTTCCTTGATTTGATATTTTATACAAGAACACTTTGAATGTGCTATTAAATGTGAATGATTTTAACAAATTCTACTAGATTTTTATGAGCTAGTTACATGTTCTATTCATAGTCTTTTGCTCTTTTGTTTTTAAATATGGCTTATATTGAGCCTTTCTATAGGTACATTTCCATTGTTTTGACCAAAGAAAAAAATAAGCTGTCCCAAACAGAAAAATAATGGCTATCAGAAGTATGTTTGTTTTAGACTAAGTTACCATTTCTGAATTTGTTTATCATAAAGGTATACTTTTACCAGATAATAAAGTTTTTAATAAAAAGTAATTAAAATTTCATAACCCCCAAACAAATATCACATTATAAAATTATAATAAAATTATAATATTATTATAATAAAATATATCAATTATATTTAAAATATTATAAAATAAATCAATGATCTCTTTCACTTGAATTTATATTCTAAATCTCTTCTGAGAAAATAAATATATTTTAGTTATTTAGTATCATACAGTATTTTGTGGGGATAAAGACTAGAATGGCTGAACTATAAGACACTCGGATTTTTCTCCAGAGAAGTTTCTGTGGTCTTAGCTTCAAGGAGCCCCAGTTACCATTCTAGCTGTGCTCTGACTGTATGACCACACCTGCCCTCATTACTTACCTTCACTCCCTTCCTGGGTACATGCTCATAGCCCTGCTCAACCTTCTTCCTGGCTTCTAAGTAGAGGCTGTGCCCACCAGGAACAGAAAAATCTCCACGTGAGATGCTCTCCCTTAGAGGCTCTGAAAGCTTCTCCAGCTCAGCCTGGCAGTAACTGAGAGATGCTGCTTCATTCTGTTGTATGAAATCTTCCTTCCTTTCCTCTATGGTGGCCTACCATTTGAGTAGGGGAAGACAAAACAAAGAAGCTGTTAGAAGGAAGTTACAACTGTGTTATTCCTGAATGAAGCAATGTGACAGTCCCAGAGTGGACTGGGACAGGAAGAGGAATGTGGAACTTGCTTTAGCCCTGGTCTGGTCGACTGTGAGTGACTGTTGGAAACCTTCTTAATTTCCTTAGCCTCAAGCTCATAAACTCTGAAAGTGAGGAGAATGGGCATGTAATCTGTGTTCTTCTTTGTGGGCTGGAATAAAGAGTGTCTATGCATCAACAATGAATGAAAAGTTCAACCAGGAGGAGACACAGAATCCTTGGAGTATGTGCTTTGTGAGGGTGAAAATATCTACACAGCAAACCCACCTGTCAGTTCTGGGTAGGGTCATTATCAACAGAGTAGTAAGTGTTTTATGGATTCCTTCAAGGATAGTGAGGGGTGTGAAGTTGAAGAATGAAGATTTTAAAACGGACACTTGTAAACTACAATTGAATTGTCTTCTTTGGGATAAATTAATGCAATTTGTCACCTGTAAGATGGTCGAAGAAAGATTAAAAGACAAATGTTCAGTGACAGGATCTCTGGTCACTAGAATTAAGAGGAAGCCACTTGAGTTCTTTTCCTTGATTTCTTTGTTCCTTAACATCCCGTAAGTGGTTATCGACCTTCCTAATGCTGACACCCTTTAATACATTTCCTCGTGTTGTGATGACCACAACCATTAAATTATTTTCATTGCTACTTCATAAGTATAATTTTCTACTATCATTAATCATAATGCAAATATTTGATGTGCTGGATATCTGGTATGTGACACCTGTGAATGGGTTGTTTGGACCTCCCTCAAAGAGCTTATGATCTATAGGATAACAACCACTCCACTAAAATGATAGTCATTGTATTATAAACTCTAGCTAACCTTAAGACATACACCTTATTTAATTATACTGGTCCTTGAAAATCAGTATTTTATAATTGATTGTACACAACAGAAACCAGGAGGATGAGAAACAAAGGTAGAATGCATTCTTTCTACTTTGAATATTGGATGAGTTCTTAGAGCCTCTGGGTGAAATCCCATTTGACTCCTTGCTTTTGCTTGGTGCACACTGAGGAGAGACCCACAAGCTGTGTGCTGCCTCTCAGCAGCATGACTCAATAGATGCATATCATTTCAAGTTGCTGTTGAAAATCAACTGCCATATTTTTAACTCCTCAACCACTTTGTTTTCCCCAAGTTCTCTGAAGAACTCTGTTACCTATAAAAAAAAAACAAACAAACCCTGTTTTCTTCAATAATAAGAAGGACTCAGTATGAAATCAAAATGCAGGGCCAAAGCCACGTGAAAGAAAGGCAGGCATCTGTAAGGATAAATGCTAATGTATTTTACCACAAGCTTCTCCTGGAATTTCCTCTGGTCATCCTTGAAGGATCTATCCATAAAGACAGCAATGGCTTTCTTCTCACAGACTGCATGTATGTCCAGCAGCTCCTGGAGTGTGTCTGTCGGGAGCCTCACTTGCTGGTCCATCTGTTCACTGTAGTGGTCAGTTGCTTTCTGTAGAGCTATGGAGTTCTCACGCTCAGCCAGTGTGTTTACTGCATTCTCCAAACAAGGCACTGTTCCACTCTTAATGGCATCCAGGTAGGTGTGTGCTAGAATCCCCAGTTCTGGTGAGACGTGACAGTTAGAATTCACATTCCTATTTCATAAAGTTTCATGGTCTGGGTGTTTAAACAAGTCCTTGACTCTTCTAAGCAGCTGCTCTACCTCAGAAACTTCCCTTAAGCAAGATACTCGGGTGATTTGACCCTACCAATGGCCCAAATCCTCCTTTAGTATAAAATAAGGCTGGGATTATTGAATATATATCCAGTTCATCTAAGACTCTTAAAACAAGACTTCTCTCTTCATTAATATATTCATCATCCATTCTTTTTTTTGCTGAGTCAGAAAATTATTTTAATAGTTACAAAACACTTTTTACAGAATCAGTATAAAATAGCAATTGATTATTTTATAAATATAATTCATAATTGTGACAATTAGACTTGAGGCCTTGAACTGCTGGCTGGGAGACCATCCCTGAGAGCCTGCCCTGTTGACATCTGTCATGCTTAGTTGATGAGATGACCAGGTCTATAAAAATCTCTCTCTACTCATTCTTTGGAGGCTTGAAATGAATTTGGCAGCATTCATTAAACACCTTCCAGCTCCTATCCTTTACCCCTTCTTCAACATTTAGTTCTGACTGCATCCATTTCAACTTTGTCTGTCTTTTCTAAGTTGCTTTAATAATGTTAAGACATTCAGGTTCTTTTCTCTCTCTCTTCTCAGAGACTTTTTACTACTGCTGAGGTTTTGACTACCCAGTTCTTTATAACTCTGTCCCTACTGACATGAGCTGCCATCAAAGACTCATAAAGTTGTTTACAGGTTTGGCTGGCATCAGTCTTCTCATCATCCATTCTTTAAACATTGATTCTGGTTATTGTATGAGCAACACATGATACAATTCAAGTCAAATGGAGTGTGTTACTTGGTTTGAGGAAGCTCAGTGTTGCCCAGTAGGGCCTTAGATTGAAGAATATGCTTTATGCCTATTATTTCCATTATTATTTGCACAAATCTTGCATAGCTACTGAACACTCAAAGTGGGTACATGATTTGAATTTTAAATTTATCTTAATTAAATTACATTTAAGCTAAATAGACATACATTTGTCTTTTGATGCCAAATTGGATAGTGTAAATATCCAATGCTTATTCTAACATAGAAATATTGATAAAGAATCTCTTCCCTGATCATTATCAATTTTTCCAGCTAGAGATCTTACTTACAAAGACATTAAGTATTATCTGAGACTATCTGGAATTCTGTAAAATTGTTAAAACTTGAGTTAGGTGGATATTATATTTGGATATATACCCAAAAGGTGCACTCTCTAAAGCTATCGAGAAGGACAGGGCAAGAGACTCACGAGCTCCATTAACTTTGATGCCTCCTGGGAGAGCTTTAGCCTTTGAAGAGCCGAAGATGAAGGAACAGAATTCTGCCACCTGCTGCACAAAGTCAGAATCCAACGCATCATCATGCAAGTTCTCAAGTTCAGAAAGCTTCTTCCACTCAGTGGGTGGGTAGAAGACAAAGCATTTCTTCTTAGGGAAGAACTTTCGAATACAGAGTCGGGGAAGGTTGTAATTTTTTTCTACTTCACTGGTACCTGGAGAAAGTCAAGAAAATATAACCACATAGCTATCCTGGTGTTGATGTGTCGCTTAAGGATTGATCAGTGGTTTTGGTGCTGTGCATCTCCACACAACCTCAGAGGGAGAGTAAAACATGTTTACTCTCTTCTGTGATCCTGATCACAGAGTGAACCTGTCTCCATTACCAGGGAACATTTACATTGAAATTGATATGTTAAGACAAATACTAAACGGGAATCATTTCTTAGAAACAGCATGAAAATTGGAAAGAGAAAAGCAAATCTAAACACCTGAATAAAATGTAAATTCATGGAATTCCCCCTCTGTTCTCCAGTCACCAATCTCTGTACCTTGCTTGAGTTTCAGGGAATTCTCCAGGTACTCATCTGCTGTGAGGCTTTGTCCATCAGCTTCAAGTCTTAGGGTCACATCCCTCAGAACCCACACGAAGTCAGGGAAGAATCTCACAAACTCAGATGAGTCTTCCACCTCATCCTCCTGGTCAGTTGAGGCCCTTGCTCTTATCTGATCTGTCAGCTCTGTCACATAGCTGGGTAGCTAAGGAGAATTGGTGAATGACCAGGGTCCCCAGTTGTCTCACCTCCCGTTGGTCTCATCAATCCCCACACATGACTTTGCCCGGTACTGACTCAGTGTGAGCTCATTAGCTGCTATATGAGATCTGCCCTTGCACTGGGATTACTGTCTCCTATCTGTCTACACTGACTCTGCAGCATTCCCAGGCTTTGATGTTCTCCATCACAGAAAGGATACTGCAGCTGGTCCATGGCCTGCTGGTTGATGGGTCCCATGCTGTTGTACACAAAGGTGCTGCTTAGAAGTATAGCCAGGGCAAAGATCCAGCAGTCATTCTGGTTGTCACCCTGGAAGGCAGAACATCCCTTTCTAAATGAAGTGCTCCAAAATGTGCCTCATTTTTAGAGTGAACTAGTGTATTGTACTGTTAGAAAAAGTAAATATAGAGCTATATTCTTGCTAGTAGAACTCAAAGAATGTATTGTTTCTGATTAGTAGTCACTCATTAGAACTGACTCGTACTTTATTACCAGCTTAACAAGTTTTTTAATGCCCATTAGTGGATAATTTTAATAAACAGTCCAGATTGGTGGAGATTCCAAATTCTTAGAGACTCTTATAAGTTTCGCTTCATGTAAGATTTAATTGCCTACCATTAGAGTAATAATACTTAATTTAGAGAAATTATTGCATATTTAAGGCTTTGAATTTAACTCACTTTTCACACAGCAATAGAATCTGTTTCAGGAATATTTATCCTCCTTACCTTCTCTTTGCTATCCACCAACCTTCTTCCAACTGGACCCCTTTATATTGAAGGGGTACATGAGTTGTGTTTCCCACTGCTTAATTAAGCTCATTTTCTATTCTTTGATTGTGATGTTATTTAGCAGTGAATTGTGAGGTTATTTAGCAGTGAGTGACCAACTTACTACTGGATATATTATATTGCTAGTCTAAGTAAATGCACAGTGCTGTAAGTCAGATAAATACCTATTCCACTCATTTTACTCAATAGCAGAGGGTACACATAACTCATATACTTGCTGAAATCACAGAATTTGTAATGGTCAGAACTATTTGTTGCACATAAAGTCTCAGTACTTTAGTACCTCAATTGTTAACCAGCATTCTCTGTGGGGAAACACACACGGAAGCAATTCTACTGAAAGCATCTTTATACATCTGTATTAACTGGATTAGTCTGTTAATGATGACAGCCCTATCCCATGATGCTCATGGTCTCCTAGAATGCTGGATTCTGACTATCTTCTTCCACACTAGTTATCAAACTTCTCACCAGTAGACATAAACAAAAGACACATTGTGGTTAGAAGGAGTTCTAGGTACTCTAGAGACCATCAAGAGTTAAGGAGCTTAATCCAAAATGCCCTCCTCCTTCCTTACCTTCTCCACATCTCCCAGGCCTTCTGTGTCAAGCAGAATTAGGGTGTTGTCTGGCTTCTGGGGATGAGGGATGCACCACATCCAGATCCCGTTGGTGTGAGACTGTATTGTAGAGCCCAGAGAGAATCCTGCAAAGGGCAGAGTAGGGACAAGGGTAAAAATCCTAGCAGGTTCTTCTGGAAGTAGAAACACGTTAATGTAAATCAAGGTAAAAGAAATTGTGTCATCGTTCTTCTGGAAGTAGAAACACGTTAATGTAAATCAAGGTAAAAGAAATTCTGTGTGGATGGCAAGAATTGGTGTACACAAGTGAAGTTTTAAAAACATAAGAACAAAAATAACAATTACTAAAAATAAAGAAAAGCAAAGAAAAAGAGAAAAGAAATGTTCCATTTGCTTTGGAAGTTTGTCTATCTTCTCCATGGTCAGTGATTGTTCACTGTTGATGCATGAATATCTTACTTTGTGACTTTGAAATGTATATATAGCAATATTATCTATTCTGTACTGATTTGCTCTACAAAGCAGAAAGAACAATCAACTTTTAAAATAGGGAATTAAGATAAGCCAAGTAAACAGTGTCAGGCTCTTCTTTTTCTGATTATAATAAAGAGAAGTACACAAAAGTGATTCGGATTTTTAGATATATCCAGCACATAAAGCCCTTTAAAGTAAATTATTCTTAAATAGAATTTCTCTCTCTTTTTTATTAGGGATTAAAAATTACCTTTCAGTATTCATCCTTGTTTTGAAATTTCTATTCTAATACTACAATATAACAGTGTGAAAGGACTCAGGGGACCCAGCACAGCTGCGTTGGTGGCACTCACCAGTTTTCTTCCCAGCCAGCTTGTTCATCAGGTAGGATTTGCCAGTGCGGTAGAGACCCACGATGGCCACAACCACCACTGGTTGTGTGATCTCTGACAGGATCTCTAGGGCCTTCTGATTAGGTATCAGTTGTCCTTTCACATTCTCGATGAGACACACAGGGACTTTCGATGCCATGTTCATTGGGGTTCCTTGACTGCAAAAGGAAAGATGGGGTTAATGAGAATTCCAGGCTTTCACATGAGAGAGTACCTCTACCAGTCAGACTGCCTTCAGAACACTCTGAGACACACCAGGCCACAAGCTGTGCACCAGAGAGAGAAATGTGATGAATGCTTGTGTAATTTTATGATGTCATAGGGTACTTCAAAAGCTAAATATTTTTATGAAAATGTTTTGTCTGCAGTAAAGAATTCTGATGACAAAACATATTCAGATAACTTAGGGTAAAAAAAAATTGAGATTTCTCACTGAACAGTTTACAACAGTCATTAAGGAGAAAGGAGAATATCTCTTAGTGAAATTATTATCTACCATCTATCAATGTATCATTTATATATGCATATGTAAGTTATATATGTGTGGTTGTGTATTCATTGAACTAAAATTTATTTATTTTTAATTCTATGCATATAGGTGTTTTGTCTTCATGTTTAACTATAATACCACTTGGGTGCCTGATGGCAGCTGACAGCAGAATAAGGTGTCTAATCCTCTGGAACTGGAGTTTCAGATGGTTTTAAACCTCCATGTAGGTGCAGGGAATCAAACCGAGGTCCTCTGGGAGATCAACAAATGCCCTTAACCACTGAGTCATCTCAAGCCCTTACAATTTAGTTTTATTTGTCATTATATGGACTAAGGATAGATACATGATTGCTGACTTCAATGCACTATTTAGCTTCATTGTGAGAAAATTAACTCATGAACAGTATTCTGTTTATGGTCATTGTACATCCTGCTATTAATTCTTTAATATACTCTTTTATATTGCTTGACCAATAATTCTTTAACTTATATTAAATCCATTGAGTATGAGTGAATGTGTGGGGAGACACATTCAGGTGTATGAGTTAACTTCTTCCTTGACTTCATGTGGATTCTGAGGGATGTTGCCCTAAGGGACAAACAGATGGACAAAACCTCAAAGTGGATGAGTACCTGCAGCTGAATCTCAGTCTAGGTATAGAGACTGTCATTAGAGAACAGAGGGATTTGAACTTGGGTCCTCATGCTTATGCAGTAAGCACTTTACCACCTGAGCCATCTCCCAAACCATGTATTTTCTATGTTTGAATTCTATGTTAGTTAAGATGCCTGGCCCTTTGCTCTGCCCTGCACATTAGCGCAGTGTGCATCTTTGCCCTGCAACAGAATTCTTATGGCCAACATTCTTTTCCATATATATTTATATACTGAGATGTTCTTCTCTTTGTGTTGAGCTTATCACTTCATCCACATTCCTGTTTGTCTAGATTAATTCTTCTTTATTTATAGAACACTGGCATACACCTGTGATACAAACAGTTGGGAGGTAACATCCTGAAGGCCAGGTGTTCCATAGGAACAGGAGACCACTTCCTAAATAAAACACCAGTAGCACAGACACTGAGAGCAACAATTAATAAATGGGTCCTCCTTGAACTGAGAAGATTCTGTAAAGCAAAGAATATGGTCAGTAAGGCAAAATGGCTCCCTACAGAATGGAAAAGTTCTTTACAAAACCCACATTTGACAGAGGGCAAATCTCCATGATATACAAAGAACTCAAGAAACTAGGCAGCAAACTACCAAATAATCCAATTTTAAAACGTGGTATACATCTAAACAGAGAATTCTCTACAGAATAATCTCAAATGGCAGAATGACACTTAAGGAAATAATCAACATCAAAACATCTGAGATTCCTTTTCTTCCCTTCTCATTCTCATAGCTCCCTCCCCCCTCATGCAGAGGTCATGAGGAAGCAGAAAACTTGAGTCAGGTGTAGATTAGAAGAAAGGACATATGATAGGCAGGATTTTAGTTGGGGAGTGGTTAGGGAGGAAGTGAAGGACAAAAGAACTGGGATTGTCATGTAATTCAATCTTGTTTGTAATTCAAATATATAAAAAATAAAAATGTGAAAAAACCCTCTGAGATTCCATCTTACACAGATCAGAATGGCTAAGACCAAAACACCAATGACAGCTTATGTTGGAGAGGATTTTGAGAAAGGAGAACACTCTTCTATTGCTGGTGGGAGTGCAAACTTATACAGTCAGTATGGAAATCAGTATTGCAATTTCTCAGAAATTTAGGGATCAACATACCTCAAGACCATGCAATACCATTGAAGGGCATATACCCAAAGGAGGCACATTCAAACCAGAAGGACAGTTGCTCAACTATGTTCATAGCAACATTAATCGTAATATCCAGATCTTGAAAACAACCTAGATGTCCCTTAACTGAAGAATGGATAAAGAAAATGTGGTATATTTACAAAATGGAGTACTACTAAGTGGTAAGAAATAATGACTACCTAAAATTCACAGGCAAATGGATAGAACTAGAAAAAAATTGTCGCAAGTGAGGAAACCTGAAACTAGAAAGACAAATATAGCATGTACTCACTCATAAGTGGATACCAGACATAAAGCAAAAGATACCCAGCCTATAATTCTCAACCTCAGAGAAGCTTGAACCCTCTTCCAGAAACAGATTGAAGCAGATGCAGAAATCCACATTGAAGTGAGCGGCAAGCAATAATATGAACAAAGTACTCAAGACCATGATGGGGAAACCCACAGAATCAGCTGACCCAAGGTAGTGATAGGTCACTGACTCAGGTCTGACAAATAAGGAACCTGCATAAGACTAACTACACTCCTTTAATATAGGTGACAGTGATGTGACTGGAACAATATATGAGGCCACTGACAGTACAAGATCTAACACTAATGAACAAACTGACTTAGTGAAGCCTATTCTATATGGAGAAATACCTTGCTCAGCCTAGACACACCATGTGGGGGGTGGAGAGGTGGCTTGATCCTGCCTCAAGGAGATGATGGGACAGACTTAGTAGACTTCCGAGGAAAGGCTTTATTCTCTCCAAGGAGCAGATGGGAGGTGGGGGAGCAGGAGGAGGGTAGGGAGGGGGACCTGGGATAGGAAAGTAAAAAAATAAATTAATAAAAAAATTAAAGAAAAAAATCAGGTGTTTAAGACCATCATTGATGATATAACAGATTGAAGCTAACCTGGTATATTTGGCTTAAAAAAAACCCTGTAACTCTTAAAAGTCCCAATACTGTTGTCTCTGAACCTTTTGGTATTATTTCTTCAGCTACAACTAGTTTCTGTAGACACCTGCTTTAATGTTCAGCAGGTTCTAGCTGAGTCCTGCCATTCTGGAATTTTCACTTTCTCTTTGTGTGCACAGCTGTATTCTCCCTGGTGCTCCATACAGCGTTCTACTCTCTTCTGTCTCAGTAGATTTTCAAGTTCATCTTCTAAAATCAGAGTCCACATCATGAAGAGTTTTCCCCCAGAGTCAGTGTTTAGAATCTGTAAGTCAGCAGGGCAGAGCAATCACAAAGATCCTCGGTAGGAATTAATCAGACTGATTTGGTGATTTCAATGATGAACTGTGATATGGAAGTGTAAGCTGAATAAACCCTATCCTCCCCAATTTACTTTGGTGATGGTATTTTATCACCACAAAAGTAACCCCAAGATACTATCCTAATCCAAAATATTTTGGAGGCTTGCTGTTCCCTTCTTAGTTTAAGTGGAAGATACAACAATAAGCTGAGTGCTCAGAGGGACTAAGAAGTTTTATGAGTGTTGCCTTAGTTGGTTTATAGCATGTGATCATCTTAATCAAGTTGATGATGGAGCTACATGTCAAGTACTCTTTTGTTACCTTAGTAAATATGGTTGCTTTACTAGTATATTGTTTATCCAAACATGTGACTTACCTTGGTCTCTCTCTTCTCTTCCTCTCACACTCTCCTCATTACCAAACTTCTGGCATGGTCTGGTTCAGCCTCCTACACTGAATGTATACTACTTCCTCTCCCTGCTATGGACTCTTCCAGATGCCTCTAGCTGTTCTGTCTGTCATATCTACAATCAAACCTCCCTCTAAACCATACCTTGGAATATGGTTGGAGCCAGAGGTAAGAGTGAGGTGGATGCCAGCAGAGACTTTGGTATGCTAACTGGTACCACAGTTACCCTTTTGTCCCAGTTTCTTTTGGACCTGACACCTGAAACCTCTCTCCTCTCTCTAGATTTCACTTTCTTTTTCTCACTCAAGGGCCTGTTTACCCTGCATCTAACTTATTAATAAGCAGTCATGTGGTTGCTTCCATTCTGAAAAGGTCACCACCTAAGACTGAGGAGAGTCACACAGTTGCTATTTTAAAACATCTGTTTTCCTAACAAGAATAGAATCCAAGCTACATATACTGTAGATCTAATCTAAGCTTTTGTAGACTTATTTTTCCAAATAAGAGTTGAATCCAAGTTACTTACATAGCAACACCATAGTAAATTAAGATTAATTATACATAGGTTTTAAAACCGTCAGCCTTTTGTTACAAGTTTTAAGTTAACTTTTGGTTATGAATTTTACAGATTTTTAAAACATACCCAATGAACTTACAAATCCTAAGGTAAAGAGCTTATGCAATAGTCTTAAAAAGATTTCTTCAGAGCAAAAAGTTTGGAAGCCCAGGAACTGGAGAAGTTTAGAGGAGGAGATAAGGGTAAGAAAGCTGAGAGAGACACAGGTACTGAGTGAGATGGAGGCCAGCAGACACTTTGGTATGCTAGCTGTCACCACAGTTAGCCATCTGTCCCAGATTCTTTTGGACCTGACACTTCCTATCTCTGGGTTTCACTTTCCTTTTCTCACTCAAGGGCCTGTTTACACTGAATCTGAGTTACTATTTTTATCTTCTCCTTAAAATATATATTCATGTTCCTTTCAGTTTCTTACCTGCAGTTTGACTGAACTCAGCAAATTCCTTCAATGACTAGGACAATGAAATCCATGTCCCTTAAAACACTGAAAAATCTAAGAAAAGACAATCCTGAGACATTTTGACCTTTAGTTTAGCCAAACATCTATCAGGGAGCCTTGGACACAGACCCAGCCTCTGGGGACATATTGCTGCCAGGTAATGCTGCTGATGCTCTGAACTCCTGTTTCAGCTTAGACTCTACTGGTTTCTGTCACTCTTTAAATGAATAAGCTGAGCCTGTGACTCACTGCACGGATCTCGTCATCCTCACTCCCTCTCAAAATGCAGGTCTCTTTGGAGTGGGAGAGAGAGTTGTTTTGGTGGGAAAGTAGATTTACTTACTATTTATTTCATATTTTTTAAAATAAATAAATATTTATTTATTCATTGTCCAGACTGAGTATCTCTTTTTCCTAAGGAAAAACAATCACACTGGAAAAGATTAATTTGATTACTTATAGTAAAATATGAGACCCATAATCATATAAACTCTCACATCTGAAAACACAGAAGCCCAGACATCACACAGTGAGAGGAATAGCTAACTACAGTCTTCAAAAAGAAAAGAATCAGAAGTCAAAACAGGATTAAGTTTTCACTCATTGATTTAGGAGTACAGTTTGCTTGGTGCTTAGTTCATGGACTTCTTCTGACTCTAGTACCCAATATTAGCAAGAAGGAGAGAAGTTCTTACCTGCGTTTCTCTTCCACTGAAGGGGAGGATTTCCACAAACGTCTGCTCTGCCTGCGCTTCCTTGACCTCTGATGTTTTCAGGGACCTGAAGCACTGAAGAAAACACATGAAGCACTGTTCCATCTGTGAAACCAAAACTATCTAGAGCCACATTTGATCTAATAGCTATAAAAAGATTGCAGGCAATATTGCCAGTAGACCAAGTGTCCAGACTTGGTATCTTACCTCACAGAATTTCCATCTGGGGAGAGACTCCAGAAAGTGAAGATTTGCGACATTCTGAGAAGGCTAGAAAGAGGACACAATCCGTCATTTTAACGAATTGCCAAAGTAGACACACTTAAGTTGTCTGGGAGGTCCTATTAGACATGCAGCAAACATGTCAAAAGGGCATATCACACACTCAGCACCTGGTTCTTAAGTGCTTACCACTCTCTTAGGAGAAGCTCCTGGTAAAAGATAGGTGTTCCAGCTCAATGCTGGCTGCTTCATGTGCATTTCATAGCATATGCATAACAATCATTTCCTCATAGAAACTGAGGCACTGACAGAAAAATAAAATGTTCTGTTGATTTAAGAAATCATTTCTGGACACTCAGTCCTCTGGAAGTTAAGCTTCTCTTCTCTTCTCTTCTCTTCTCTTCTCTTCTCTTCTCTTCTCTTCTCTTCTCTTCTCTTTTCTTCGCTTCTTCTCTTCTCTCTCCCTTTCTTCCTATTTCTCTGCTTCTGTCCTATTCATCCTCCAGCTCTACCTGTTCTGCATTCTCATTATGCTTCAAATTAAGAGCAGGAAGAAGAAGAGAAAACCTGAAAGCATGTGTGTTTCAAAAACACATTTTTGGTCACTTACTCTTTAGCTATCTTGATATTATCTTTCTAGTTGTAATCTTTGATTTTTTTTCTTATATGTTTTGTTAATCCTGAAATTCATGAGAGAAAAACCAGCTCCATAAGTTTGATCCAAATTTGTAGCAAACTTAACTAAATACTGGCCATGTTGGTGGACTCTGGCCAGGTCCACCTCTGGGTTCCCAGGGAATGGCCATGAGTCACAGTTTGTTGGGACTTAAAAGGCAAAGCCTACAATTCATTGCATTTCCCATCAGGTCAAATCAGGGACAAACATATGTCCTGATGTACTTCCTGCCAACATTCCTCCCATCTACATGTAATCAAGCACATCCAGTGTAACTGGCTCAAGCAAACTTGTTTAGGGAAGTGAAAACATGTGGCTTGTTGTTTGCCAAAAACTACAGCTCCCAGGACAGGTGATACCATGTCTTTGAGCAGGTGGGGTTTACAGGTTAACTTTGGCTCTTAGAGATATTCTCTACACTTGCTATTCCTCCTCAACAGCCAACAAATATGACCCTGGAAATGTCCTTCTGTTTGGGGGAATATAATATAATCACATAATTTCTCCCTTTCCTCCCTCCAAACATTCCCATACACTCTTCCTTGCTCTCTTTAAAATTCATGTCCTCCACAAGTGACCCGTGTGCCATACGGAGTTCGGCAGCAGGATCTGACACCCCGAGGCCCAGTGACAGCTCTGCCTCCAACTGCCAGCCTGGCGGGACCCGGCACGCCAGGACATTGCCAACACCAGGGTAACAGTGACACCTCCATTCACAAGAATAGGACAGACATCAGAGTATTGGATCTGTTTGCATCTACCAGAAGGGAACCATGGTCCCACACCCAGCAGGAGAACAAGAAACACTTGCTACACCCACTAGAAGAAAGGATGAGAAGAGGACAAGGTAAAAGCACATTCAACAAGAGAAATCCCAATATGACACCACCAGAGACTAGGAACCAAACACCAGTAAGACCTCAACATCACAATCCAGATGAACCAGAAGAGAATGACCTTAAAAACATCTTCAGAAAAATGACGCAGGACCTCAAAGAGGACATGAGAAAATCCCACCAGTAAGACCTCAACATCACGATGCAGATGAACCAGAAGAGAATGACCTTAAAAACATCTTCAGGAAAATGATAGAGGACCTCAAAGAGGACATGAGAAAATCCCTTAAAGAAATTGAAGACAAAAGAAACAAAAAATACAAGAAAAAGTTCAAGACCTAAAAACTGAAATAGAGACAATAAAGAAAGCACAAT